GCGTCCGACTTCAGCCAGGTCACGATCTCGCGGTCCGTGAGTTCGAGCCCCGCGTCAGGCTCTGGGCTGATGGCTCAGAGCCTGGAGCCTGTTTCCGATTCTGTGTCTCCCTCTCTCTCTGCCCCTCGCCCGTTCATGCTCTGTCTCTCTCTGTCCCAAAAATAAATAAACGTTGAAAAAAAAAATTAAAAACTGAGAACAAACTGAAGGTTGATGGGGGGGTGGGAGGTAGGGGAAGGTGGGTGATGGGTATTGAGGAGGGCACCTGTTGGGATGAGCACTAGGTTTTCACCAGCATTTCCCTGATTATGACTGACGTTGAGCATCTTTTCATGTGTCTTTTGGCCACCTGGATGTCTTCTTTGGAAAGCTATCTGTTCATGTCTTCTGCCCATTTTTTAATTGGCATTTTTGTCTTATGGTTTGAATCATATAAGTTCTTTCTGTATTGTGGATAATAACCCTTTTTCAAATATGTCATTTGCAAATATATTTTCCCATTCTATACGTTGTCTTTTAGTTTTGTTGGTTGTTTCCTTTGCGGTACAGAAGCTTATATTGTGATGTAGTCCCAATAGTTTATTTTTGCTTTTCTTTCCCTTGCCTTAAGAGAATACCTAGAAAAATGTTGCTATGTCCGATGTCAGCGAATTTACTGCCTGTACTCACTTCTAGGATTTTTATGGTTTCAGGTAATTACACTTAGGTAATTAATCCATTTTGAATTCATTTTTGTGTGTGGTATATGAAAATGGTGCAGTTTCATTTGTCTGCATGTCGTTGTCCAGTTTTCCCAATACCATTTGTTGAAGAAGTCTTTTTCCTGTTGAATGCTCTTTCCTGATTTGTCAAAGATTAACTTACCATATAATTGTGGGTTTATTTCTGGATTTTTTACTCTGTTCTATTGAAATGTGTGTCTATTTTTATGCCAGTACCATACTGTATTGATTACGACAGCTTTGTAAAATTGGGGTCTGGAATTCTGATGCCTCCAGCTTTGCTTTTCTTTTTCAAGATTTCTTGGGCTCTTCAGAGTCTTTTGTGGTTCCATACAAATATAGGATTGAGTGTTTCTAGTTCTGTGAAAAATGCTGTTGGTATTTAGGTAGGGATCACACTAAATGTGTAAATTGCTTTTGGTAGTATAGACATTTTGATATCTGTGCTTCTAATTCATGAGCATTGATTGTCTTTCC